GCCAACTTTTCTGCTTATTTTTATACATCAACATGCTCAATAACCTATAACATTATAAAATACTCATGCAGATGTTGCCGAACAAGAACTGCAACTTGGCCCTACTTAAGGCTCATCATAGCTTATTGCTTTTCATTTGAGAAATCACTTAGTTGAGCATATTTCTGTATTTAGTCCTTGGACATATTTTGCTTGTTAAGAATGTGTGAAGCGACATTTAGTTATATCAGGGTCTGACTAGAGAAAATCCCAGTGTCAGGCCCGTATCGTTCATGATCCCAAGAGTGAAATTAAGATGCAAACAAGGTCAAGTACTATAATTGATCAGTTGGTTTATTAAAAAAAGACAATTATTATAAAAAGGGAAATTATTATGAAAAAGGGGATAGCGATAGGACAGATCAAAAAAAGGACAGAAATGAAGCAAGAATTTGGGGTGCAGAGAGAGAGATAGCCACCACTGCGTATCCAGTGGTGTCCTGGGGATCTGTTGTTGTCATCGGAAGTGGTGGAAGTCCTCCAGGGTCCGTAGCTCGTATCAGAGCAGAGTGTCCCCAAGAGTCTGTAGTAGTCATCAGAGGTCAGTGTCCTCATGGAGGCGTCCTTCTGGACTTGTTCCCTTGAAGGTGCCCTCATGGAGATGTCCTTCATGGGTAGTCTTCATGGCGACGTCTCTTTTTCCCCCTTTTATAACGAGCTGGGGGGAGTACCTATGTTTTTAACATCAGGCATTACATGTTCCTGGTGGACCAGTTTCACTGGTCTTGCAACAAACTCTTCAACTGCAGCAATTCTTGGGACAATGGACAGCAATTCCTCATGCCAATCTTCGAGACAATGGACCATAGAGTCCTATCTCAACTCTTCCCACCCATCTCTCAGGCAATGGACAGTGGGAGTCCCAGTTCAGCTTCTCACACCCTTCTGCCAGGCAATGGATGTTGGAGTCTTATTTCAACTCCTCCCACCCATCTCTGAGACAACAGATTGGGGGAATTCCATCTCAGCTTCTTATACCAATCTTTGAAACAATGGATAGTGGAGTCTGATTTCAGATCAGTCTCTCACAAGTTACTTTAAAATAGCTACTATAATTTAACCTTTTCAGTTGTGGTTAATGTATTTTGTCTTTTCATTAAAAAAAAAATAATAAAAAAGCTGAATCTCCCTCTATATTATTTGATTTTCCTTTTTTCTTCCAATAATCTTACATAAGCAAAATAAAAAGAACTTTTTCTTATTATACTCCTAGATACAATGTCCTTGATCTTGCCTCCTAAAGTTCCTGGCTTATGAAAGATTTGGTGGTTTGGAAAGATAGTTACCTCGCCCAGACTTTCACATCTGGCATAAATATCAGCACAGATAGAAAGAATCTGAAGCAATTTAACCTCCCTCACTCTTAATTCCAACTTCTGTTGAACAGCCTTCTTCAGCTCTTCTACTTCCAAATTAGTTTAGGATTTTTTATGTCATAGTTCTAATCCTTCTAGTTAGGGACATGTTACCCAGTGGCAGCCCCAGGACAAGATCTGCACCTTAGCCACATAAATTCTCTCTGCAGAATTAAGAGAAAATTTGGGCTTATATTGTTTATTTTGCATTAGCAACTTCATTTTCATTGCTTTTGTAACTGTAGATGGGACAGTGGGTTATTTCTGAAATGGCATTTTTACTTTGAGCAGTCCTGCCAAATAGAACTTCATTTACCCAGAACTGGCCCATAGCTTCTGATTCTGTGGTTTACTTTTCTGGTTTCTATTAACAATGAGCTTTGGATTTGCTACTGGTCCCAGTGAGACTTTGAAAGACTTCTCAGAGCTCTGATAGGATTACACAATTCTCTTCCACCTTTCCTCCTGAAGTTCTCCTGCTCCTTAATTTACCTCTTGCAGTCATGGAACTATAGGAGTTTTATGAATTTTCCAGGTTTCCTATACCTGTTGTGAACTTTTTGTCCTGAATTTCAGCTTATTCCCTACCCCTCTGGAAATCGAGTCCCTCCTGTGAACACTTGCCTTGGAGAATTTCATCCTGCACAACAGCAGTTAATAACTGTGTCTAGTCTCAGCTTCTGGCATTTCTGTTTGGGACTCTGGCGTATGCAGTAATGAAGCCTGATTAAGTATGGTTGGAGCAATGTGGTATTTTTGTATGATAAAAATAAAGATTGAGCATCATTATTTGGGATCAGCTTCTCAAATACATCACGTGGCTTATCTCCTTCCTTCTTTAAAAATGACTTGTCTTTAAATCCAGTGAGTCTTTTAAATAGAAAATAGGGTTGATTCTCACCTAAGGTCTAACACTATATTTTTTGTGATAGAATCATAGAATAGTTAGGGCTGGAAAGGACCTTAAGATCATCTAGTTCCAACCCCCCTGCCGTGGGCAGGGACACCTTACGCTAAATCATATCACCCAAGGCCTCGTCCAACCTGGCCTTGAACACTGCCAGGGATGGAGCATTCACAACCTCCCTGGGCAACCTATTCCAGTGCCTCACCACCCTAGCAGGAAAGAATTTCCTTCTTATATCCAATCTAAACTTCCCCTGTTTAAGTTTTAACCCGTTACCCCTTGTCCTATCACTACAGTGTCTAATGAAGAGTCCCTCTCCAGCATCCCTATAGACCCCCTTCAGATACTGGAAGGCTGCTATGAGGTCTCCACGCAGCCTTCTCTTCTCCAGGCTGAACAGCCCCAATTTCCTCAGCCTGTCTTCATACGAGAGGTGCTCCAGTCCCCTGACCATCCTCGTGGCCTCCTCTGGACTTGTTCCAACAGTTCCATGTCCTTTTTATGTTGAGGACACCAGAACTGCACACAATACTCCAGGTGAGGTCTCATAAGAGCAGAGTAGAGGGGCAGGATCACCTCCTTTGATAGCTCTCTTTATAACCAGAAAACAAAGCTCCATTTTAAAAGAATGTAAACTCTCTAAGTAACGGGAATCTTAAGAGTGCCAGTGCCGCAGAATAATAAAAACCTGGCACAGAGATATTGCTGTCATGGAGAAATGTTAGGTTGTTGCATTAACTTGTAACAAGAGATTAATTAATCAGTTTGCTTTTATTTGCTGCGAACTTGGAAGACTGTGATTAACTTGTCTATTGCTGGCCAGGTTGATGGTTTTGTTTTTGTCTTATTTGCTTATATGTATATTTTCCTTCTGCTGGTACAATCCCCATTCTATTCTTAGGTCTGCTTAGACATCTCCCTCTCAGTGTTACACTTGTGATAAAGAACAGTGTCAGAACAGCCACAGACTCCCTTGGGAGGCATTTGATCATTCTTTTTATCTGGATCACTTAAAATCTTCAAAGACCAGATGTACCTGGGTATTAATGCTCTTTCAGAACCATATGTTTCCCTTCTGCATAAAACCCATGTAAGGGGGACACTTACATAAAAATCTTGCTGCAAATTATTGCTGCGTGCTCCTTCTGTAAAGGATAAAGGATAAGGAACAAGCAGGAACACATTATTTTAATCAACCCGTGAAAGACATAAGAAATCCTATAGGATATTTAAGCATGGCTAGATCTTTCCCTTCCTCCATCACTCTCCCAAAGTAATGATAAATACTGCCTGCAAATAACTCCTTGTCTATTCAGCTAAGTAGAAATACAGGCAGCTCTTTTAGAGCTAGGCACAGTTGGGCTTGCTTGATGATGTTACAGAACTGAGAATGTTACATATTATACATTATACTATCTGTTGCTAAACACAGCATACAGACACATGATGGTAACCTGATAAAGAAAAAACTGGATTATATACCCATCTATCCCACTCCGTGGCTTTTGAAACATATTCTAAATATGACTTTTGTCCGTTGCCTTTCTCTATGCAGCAAATATGCCATCATTATTAGTAAAGCCATTGAAAAATAGATGCAATATGCAGCAGGCCAGCACATGGGGATAATTTACATTCAATTTTGAAGTTGTCTTATCTCCTGGGTTTGTTCTTCCCTTTAATATTGTTCTATTCTTTATGTGAGCTTCCATATGAAGCTATTGCTATTGGTAAATATGTAAGAGGTATGTGTATTCCTTCTGCAAACAAATGTGAAAAAAGGAAAATATCTTTATAAACCACCTGTAAACCTTGTTCATAAAAATAGAGCTCAATTATGTGTCTTTCCATTAATTATTCATCATAGTATGGAAAATATGCATGTGCAAGCGAGGTGATGAAACTCTTACCTGGGTTGACAAAGGTACATATAAATAGGTATCAGTAACTAGCAGTGTCTGGTAAATACAATGAAGTTATAGAATGAAGCAATAATATCTGTGGAGGAGTGAATTTGCTTTTTGTGGTGGTTGGCTATATGTCAAACGCACAGCACAATTTATGAGTAACTTCAGTACTCCTGGTAAATAAATAGGAGACAACATTGTCACCCTGTAAGCGACAGAAGATGAATTTTGTGGTTTCTAGAACAGTTCCAACAGACTGCAAGGAAAAATATAGCTTATGATAGTGGAGGGGGAAGCACAATAAAAGCTAGCAACAAACTCTCTGAAAATGCTTCTGGACAATTCTATCCTACTGCTATGCTGGACAATTTTTCTTCATGGGCTTTCCACCCATTGCAAGTCACTGGGATCAAAGTTGTGTAAATCAGTTGAAAGTTATATTCTGGTAGAATAGCACTACATTGTAAAAATTTACAGAAGTTGGTGGGAACTGAAGGTATTTAGTACATCATGCAATTATATAAAAACTGGAGCACAGTGCTAAGACAGGGATGCTTTTCAGAAGTTGCAGTAGAAGATATAATTTAAAAATAACACAGATTATTTAGAGATATGTTCACATGAAAGTAGAGGAAGGCAAGAACAGAGACTTTCTGTTCTGTTCACAGTGTAGGTACCACAGTCATAACATCTCATAAATGCCTAAGACAGATGGGATGTATGTTCTTTGAATAATAAGATAGCAAGAAACTTATCTATTGAAATGAGTGACTCCAATACAATGTGACCCACCTTAATCTTTGGCTTCAGGTTCACAGGAAACTTTCCCTCTGAACAGTTGCAGAGTTGTGATTTATTGTTGCTGTCACAATGATGTGAACAGATCACCAGAATGTTTTGCAGTGAGTACTTGCAAGTGTTGGCATTTTTTCTTTGTTCCTACAAACACTATGTCTTGTCTTCTATTGAGATCCGTGCGCTTTCTTTTAGTGTCTGCACTGCAAAAGGGCATCTCCAGCCACTGTGAAGTTACTCACAAGTGGAACATCATCACTTTTGCCTACATCAGAAGATATGAAGCTTGATTTCATTATTTCTGTTTTAATCTTCACTGCTATTTATTTTTCATAGCATAGCACAACACAAGACAAAATGATTTTGTGTGTGTGTGTGTGTGTGTGTGTGTGTGTGTGTGTGTGTGTCTGGTCACTGCTTTATTCATTCAATTTGTCGCTAAGGTCCAGGCAAAGTTTTGGAGGAGGAATGTCACACTAGATTAGTGTGAGAAATCAGCTGATTTTCTTCAGAGCAATGCTCTGAGCTTTTGTAGCATTTGTATCTTTCACTTGAGAGTGAAACCAATGAATATGAACTCTAGCTGCTTGGATAGTTGACTTGAACATAAATGCAGTGGGTTTGAGAGTGCCCTTGCTCATTATCCATTAAGCAATGGTCTTTTTTTGTGTGTTCTGGTTTTCAAATCTTAGTAGTGGTGCAGATGGTTTTGAGGAAGAGTTTGCACTCCTGCAATAAAATGAACAGATTTGCAGAGATGTTTAGGGTGCCAGGAGAGATCTCCATTTACGGCTCCTTTAGTTAATCTACAAAATTTTTCCTTTGCACATTACTGAGGAATTTTCACAGAATCAAAAAGTAGGGTTAACTGAAACTAAAACCATCAGAATTTGATTTTTGTTGCATCCTCTCTTGCTGCTTCACAGACCAGAGAGCCAATGGATAGCTCCCAAAAAACCACAGTGCTGAGTAAGAACCAGTTTCATAATGGCTTAGGTGCTCTTTCTATGCAGATGTAGGTAAACTGCTCAGTTGGCAAGAGAGCAAATGAGCTCTCAAACCTGCTAGTGTGTAATGAGGAAAAAAAATTGTGGATTATACTGAGAGTAATTATACTGTAACTATTAACGTGCTGTATGTTGGCTTTGTAGCAGCGCAGATCACAGCATGCTAGATTTCAAGACAGATACTATCCAGGTCAGCTCCAGGAAAACACTCATTAGAAAAATTGCTTCCAACACTCACCAAAACACATGGAATAGCCTATGCTACCAAACCCTTACATGGCATAAAATAGCAGCTTCACTGTGGCCTTGTTATTTTATGCCAGCTGAGTAAACCTGGCCCTAACAGGGTCTTGCTTTCTTTTTGGATGCACCAAACAAAAATGTTAAATAAGAAGAGGCAAATAAAGGGCAAGGACAGAGAGTGTATTAAAATATATCTTCATTTCATATCTTTTGCTAATTCACTTTTGGAATATGTTAGGAAGCAGAAATACATTAGTATTAGAGAGCACTGACGTGATGACCAATTTTAAGTTAGGTGAATAAAATCTTGTAGAACAGTACTGTACATGTGTCAGTTATTTTAATGTCTAAAAACAACTAAGAGAAGCTGAATTGATCAGAAAAATGCTACATAAACTGCCGTAAGAGCAGAAGGTGATTTAAGTCCACTTACCTTATCAGACAAAATCTTAGTAGTGCATTATTCGCCTTATTCTTTTCACTAAAACCAACCAACCAAAACACACCCTACCCAACATCCCAAACCTTTGTGCTCTGTGTTTAGGGAAGAATAGAAAGTTGTTTAATTATCCCCTTTTCCCTTTTGCTATTCATGTGTTTTAAGGCCCTCCAGGATCTGGGGCCTTATGCAATTTGATAACGTAACATCAGGAATGCCATAAAGGCAGTTTTATTTTTATACCAGGGCAATTAAAAAAAAAAATTGGTCTACTCACAGCAAATCTGGAGCCAGATCATCTATGCCAAAGGTAGCAATAAGTGCAGTGTATAAGAGAAGCTAGAATTGATTATGTCGTCTCTGAAGCAGAGGACAGAAAATTGCTTATTTGTAACAAAAATGTGGTTTGTAGCAAGATCATTGATCTGCACATGAATTTTTATTGTTTATAAATAACCTACTAGAGTCCGGAAAAGTCTTGACACCAGTTGATAAAAGAAGATAAAAGACTGTAAATCCCTTATGTAGTCAATGAAGTACCTAAAACATGCTTGATATTAAAAAATACCTGTATCTGGAATGAACAGATCTCTGTTTTGTATTAGATGGTCTTGAAGGAAACTAAAATGTGGTTTATATGCTTTATTTCTATATTCCTGACAGAATGTGATCCAGTTGCTGATTATTTTAAGGGCATATTTACTTTTTCCTTTTTTTTTTCACATTGTTTTATTAAAAATATTTTATATTAATTTGGACCAATATTTTCAAAGTTGAACAAGAACTTGGGATACCCTGTCAGACACAGAATATATTGTCTGAAGTTGGGTTCTCAGAAATTCAAACATCTTTTTAAACTTTGGTTCAAGAATTCCTTTAGGCTGATTTGTACCTCTCTTACATACATATACATATATATATGTACTATATATGTATATATATACATATATATACACGCACTAATGAGAGGGCTTCATCTCCCCGGAATGTTACAAATTCTACCCCTGCTGTTTTCTTAAAATTAAAAATTTAGTGACTAAAAGACTGGAGGTCTTAGAATCTTGCAGGTTCTTAACAGCACAAACAGGTTTTGCTCTTGAACAGAGTCATATTGGATCTTTTAAAACTTTATAGATGCAAACTGTAACTCACTACCATATTTTGAATCTAATCAAATGTCTCAATAGAATAGGATACCATGGCAGCAGGGTATGGCATGATGGAACCAAAAGCAAGATCCTAGGAACCAATCTTTCAACCTGTTGTGTTCGAACTGATTATTTCACCAGGTGTAGTCCCAGATACACACAAAAACAGTTCCCTGCAGGATCAAAGCTTTTGTTATTAGGTTTTGCTATCATTTTTGGTTAGCTTCTCATTGTTTAGTTCCTACCTGCTAGGCTTACTGTGTGTATCTCAAGTTTTATGATCCATCAGGTTGTTACAAAAGACAAGTATATAGTAACAGTATATTCACTTGGGAAACAGATTTCAATCTGCACCAAAATTTCATGTAGGTTTCCCTCCACTGGAATTACAGGAACATTTGGTATATATTAATACTGATAAATATTGAGCACTTATAGGCTTAAAATCGTAAATTATAATTTTATTCCCTTCATCCAGGCTGTAAAAGTCTTGTTTATCACTACTTTATTATTTATACTCTTTGTTTCCATTTTATCTTTTATTCAGACACGACAATGAAATAAGCAGCTTGCAGTCCTTTAGTTTTTTTTCTGTTTATATTTACCTCCACTACTCTGGCCCAGACAAGAGTAATACTTGACTACTACTAACCTTCTGGGTTGAATTTTTTATTAAAATTTTGTCGAAAAAAATAAATGGGAATAAAATTAGGCTTAGTGTAATTTCAAAGAAAAAAGTGAATAATCAGCATAAACAATATCCCTGTAATGAGCTCTATTAATGTTTTGTCTTCGTTTCATAGTAGATTATGCTATACTTGCCTCTAATTATAGTAAATCCTATTACATTTTCATTATACTGATAATCTCATCAAAATAGCGTAGCTTTAACAGTCATAGATGTTGTAATGAGAACATCTTTCTTCCTTAAAGTGAAAAATGTTTTTCATATTTGTAGTAAGCGTGCAAATATACAACTAGACATATAAAACAGCCTTCAAATAGGATTCTGAACAATTTCAACACATTCACGAAATATCCAGCTAGCCTTCAGGCTTTATATCTTGTGGATGTGGAAACGTTCCTATCATCATTTATTTGAAGATTTTAATAAAGCTAAATAAGGGTCTGAATTACTACTAATTACTACTGCTAAATTGAGGCATGTATATACTTTTTGACAGGAGAAAGTCCTTAATTTTAAGTAATATTCTCTCTTATTTTGCTCTATTTATCATGATGTGTATAGTTACCATGCATAGAACTCACTATTCAACTAAAAACATGTAAACGAAATACAACAGAGTAGTCTTTATAGACACTTGAGTACAGTCTTATGAACTGGTCCTCCTTACCAGTTTTTCACAGTGGTTCTGTAACACAACAGCAACCACAACAGTTCAGTTATACATATTTTTTCTCAGCCTCAAATATTCTAAAATTTTGTTTTTCTGAATTCCACGCCCTTGCTTCAGGAACCATCACTGTCCCCTGCTTTTCACAATCTTCCCTTCTCTTTTAAATACTGTGTGCTTGGAGGCTTCCTCATCAGGCGTAATGTTTAAAAATGAAAGCTATTAGCAACTTTACATCACAGAAGGACAGCAAGTTCTGGTCACACTTTACCTCAGAGTTACATATTCTCACAGTTCTAACAATACACGGATAGCAAGACTAATTAATTAGATGTTTGTGTACTGAGATTGTGATGTGCTGCAGATGGCAATCTATTTCTCAGAATCTTTTCTGAAAAGTGATGTTATTTATGCTTCTTTTTCTTTTGCATCTCACATTGAAATTGTATGCTTGGTGATTTCTTCCCTCCAGTAGTTTTCTACATGAATAAGCCATATCAGAGAGCACTAATGGAATTCATGCATATGCTTTTTTCTTTTTCTTTTTTTTCTCTACATTAAGCTTATTTAATCCTATGAGAGGGTCATGCTTATCAGGCATAATGTGATATTTGGATAATTTTGACTTAAGGTGGTTTTGGTGGGTGTTTTTTTGTTTGTTTGTTTGTTTTTTTTTAAGAGTAACGTCTTAGAGTTACAAGTTTGAAAGAAATGGGTAAATGTAAAAATACTGGCTGTTAGCAGTACAAGTCCACTTTGTTCTAGCCTGAATTCTTCACCTTAATAGTATTCTTATTTTTGCAGTAACCTAAAACTTCATAGTCATAGTATAAAGCAGCTACACATCAGAACTGGCAGAATACCAGCAGCACTATTGGTACAGGAAGCCATTAATAAATAACCCTGAAAGTTGTGAAAGAGGGATACTTGCTTGCATGTATAGTCATGGATTATCAAAAAGAAAGTAAAGTCATTCTTTCTCTTCTGAGAAAACATGGTAAATATTATTTCCTTCCAAAGCAAAATTACTTACCTCTTTTTATTTTGGGAGCTCAAATGAATGACCAGGATGAACTGTTTCAGAAAATGCAAGTTAATTCCAAATGACTCTGCCAGTTTACTACTATACCTGCTTAGACACATAGTTTAGCCTGTCATGAAGACACTAAAGAAATGTGAAGACTTCTGCTTTTGCAGATGGTCAATTGTGCAGTAAAGTGTGATAGGAAAATTCCTCCAAGAGTTTTTGTTTGGTTTTCATGATGGTACTGTATGTATCTTTATAGATCTTCAGGTCACATGGATTTTATGGAAGAAACAGTAATAGACCAGAAAAAGGTTTTGCATTATATGCAATAACTACATTAACATGGATATAGAAAGCCCTAGTAGATGAGAAATAGTCCCAGCATTGTGTATTGTAAATGCATAGATAGGAAACCCACAAACACTTTTTTCTTACTTTTGAGAAAAGAGAAAATAAACCCTAGAGTCACTGCATCTGACATACTTGTAGATTCTAAGGAACTCTTTGCCTTAGACCAGTATAATCCCTTTCTTTTTCTTTCTGGAAAGAAAGTAAGAGATGTATGAAGCTTGCACGACATTGAAATGGCAAGGTCTGTTTCAGTAGCTTTCTTGCCTGAAGGATCTGCATTAATGCTCTTGGTTAACATAAATCTTGATAAATATTATGATTATAACTGACTAACTGTACAAATTAACAGAATAAAACATTATAAACAACTGCTGCAGAAAAAGAATCATCTTTCCTAAACAGGAAGATTTAGATTAAATTAGAGATGGAGGTTAGTCATGCCATGTTTTAATGTCAGCGTCATATCAGGCTCTGGAAGTCTCTGCCATTTTACCACTGAACCATGTAATAAAAAGTTCTCAAATCATATTAAATACCACAGAAACATAGAATATGACATGTGTATCAAGATTTCTTTATGAATCATTGGAGTAAAAGCCATCAAGGGGAATAGATATATCCTAAATGAAATGTTAATTCTTCAGCATACACAGTAGCATGGTGTTGAGAACTATCTGGAATGGACAACATAAAGTTATGAAAGGTCTCTGTTATGTGCAGAGTAAAGCTAAAATTAAGACTATTCTAAAATGCGAATAAAAGATGCTATTTAACATGCCATAAAACAAGCAACAAGTTTATTTAGTGTTTGCTTTAGTTATACTATCATTTTGACAACCTAAAAATGAATGCAATTAAAGGCTTCAAATGTGTCATTAACACCTAAACTACCCTCAAAGGTTGCTGATGTGGCCATTACAGTACTAAGAAAGATGCCATTTATTCTGGTAAGCTTATTTATTTTTGCTTTTTGCCAGACAGTGTAGCCTATACAGGTTTGCTGAACAACATAAGCTACATGAGCAAAAAAAATAGTAGTTTTGCTCGTTCACCAGCAAAGCTATGCCCCCTAGAGGTGTGGTTTCTTTTTCCTCACATTCACTGAAGTAATTTAAGCATAGCTAAGACTTTTAAAAGTGCATTTCTGTAACGTCTGCTAAGAGTCTTTTGTGTCAGACCTAAGCATCTCCTTCTCCTGTGAACTCAGTCAAGACTGAGTGACACTGGTGAGAGTTTGAAAAGGATGGCACCTAGCGACAACAGGCATGGTAGGGATGTGTTACCGGCTAATGATAAGGGAAAGCAAGATAAGGTTCTACAATCCCTGTTCTAGTGACAGGCTTACTGAAATCAAATCTTAAATCAGCAGAAGTAGATAATGCTGTAAAATCTTCCTTTGCACTACCTGGAATCTCATATACATTCTGACAATACTGAGACTGAAAAAAATGAGAGGCACAATTTAGGATGAAAATACAATTACACTCCCTTTTTAGCTTGTGATAGGAGCTTCTAATGTACAACTGCTTCAGTGGTGTCCTCCAAGCTGCAACCAGTCAGTCTCCCACTGCTGACAAAAAACTCTCCATCTAAAAGTGTCAAGGCATGGGCCAAGAATAATTAGATTACATGCACTAGCATTAAACTCCACTATCGCAGCAACCATTCGTCTATCTTCTAGATACATCACTGTCCTAGTATAAATATACTATCATGAGTGGAGTTTGCCCCAGTGACACATCCATTCAAGTGCAGCAGTCATACATAATATTGTAACTTGTAATTATCTAAGAGATCAGTCTGTTCTGAGCCAAGTGCATTGGAAGATCATTCTCAGGACAGGCTTCAGAAGAGGTAGATGTATCATGGACTGTAAGCAGTAGAAAGACTATAGAGCTTGTTTTGAGGTAAAGTCTGCACTGAAGTTACCTAAGTAAATAAAATTAAGAACCTAGTATCTTAATTTTCTCCTTGGTTTTATACTGAAAAAAAACCCTATGAAACAACTCTCTTAACCTGAAGTAATCTTAAAGGAATTAAATTGTTTTTCAAATGCATGCTAGGTTCAAAGAAATATAAGCATCTTTCAGCTTTCTGTAGTGAAGGAGAGTATCTTGTCAGACAGAGGTGTTTGCCTTGAGAAATACGATCAGACTGCCTCTCTTGCAGAGATATCTACCATATAAATTTTGGACTTTGTTCAGCTAATGGGTCCACACAGGCCTCAGAGCTAACAGTGGGATGTCCAGATGCTTACCTTAATTCGGAAGCTGCTGATTGACTCCTGTTAAAAATAGGCTGTTCATCTGAAAGGCAAAAAAGACAGGATCTTCTTACTTTTTACACTATATAAAACATAAGTGCTTCAAGTAAGATGTTCTGAAAGGTAATATATAATTGAGCAACACTAAAGAGAAACAAGAGATAATGCCAATTAAAATTAGAGGATAAAATGTCTTCATTAGTATATGTTTTTGTCATTGTAATGCCCATCGAGAAGTATGGAAGATGATATATAAAATGTACAAAACAAGTTAATTTGTTAATACCGGAGTGATAGAGTATAATTATTGAAAACTATAGAGCTACTTCTGGAATAACTGTAATTGTTTTGCAAATTTAAACAAATTTAGGAATTTCTGTTACATTAAGAATAGGAATCACATTCTAGGCTTTTAAAGAAGTTGAATAAAGATTTGAATATGGAGCCAGGCTCCATTGTAAGTCTTTATGCAAGGGACTGTTGGCAAATTTCTTAACTCTTTGCATAAAGATACTTAAAGTAAATTTATGTCCCAAACCTGCTACTGTAAAAATGAAAAGCAATGTTCTGGGACTCTTTCATAAAGAGCCCTTTTACAAGGTAAAGAATTCTGAAAGTATACCTGCTTCTTTCAGGTTTATCAGCTTCTCTTGTATGTTATCTACGAAATTCCTACCACTACAATCGGATTAAGACTAGATTTTTTTTTCAATAATTTCTATATAAGAATAACTTGTATTTTTTTCTGACAGGTATAACATTCAAATTGAAATGTGACGTTCAAACTGAAATGTGATATTCAAACTAACATAGCCACATCATTCTTTTAGTCCACATTTGCTACCATTTCAAGGTGAAAATGATTTTCTTGATAGGATTGCACAAGTGTAAATGACTATTTCAATTACAATGTAGCTAGCATTCTACTAATGATGGTGAGAATAAAATCCAGCCCACAGTTACTCTCTTATAACTTGTGTGGGCAAGCAGTGTTTTTTTTCAGTCAGCTAATGATGACTAAGTACACAGAAGGATAAAGCAATGTGTGTTCAATTTACAGTTTTTAAGGCAAAGTAACATCCCTACAAGTTTTCAAACTGATTTGATGTTTGTTTATGGAAGACATAGATTTTCCAGTTATTATACTGCTAACATTATTTAAGTACAAAAATTAATTCCTCCTCCTTAACCTTCCTAATAATTTCAAGTTAGCCACCCTTCATTGCTTTTAATGCTTGATCTCTCCAAAGACAAAGAACTCATTAAGGGTGTCTTGAAAACTGTAGATGTACAGGCTCATAATGGGCACTTGAGTTCTTTTAAATAGTTAGTGACACAGAATTTCAGGACATTGGTATACATCTCAGATTTCTTGGCTGAAAATGCAAAGCCATCCATCTCATTAACAACACTAATACAGCTATTATGTTTCTAATTAAAATCTGTTGTGCTTATAAGCAATATATTTATCTTCTCTGCTTCCTGATAATGAACAGGCCTAAGTAGAATGTAACCCAGTACATTCTTGAGGTAGATATTACACACACACACACAAAAGACAATCACTGAAATGGTCGTCTCTGAGCCATAAAGCATCAGTGTTGTTCACAGCATTTTTCGTAGATGACAGTGCCGCCTTAGGACCTCAACTCTGGGCAAATATTGCATTTCATATTATTTACATTACAGCATCTTAATGAAAAATTGTCACTTCAGCATAGCTTCATTCATATGAGATATCTCCAGCCAAAGTATTTCCCACCACTATCAACCAATGTGTGTCTGCTAAACACTACCCTTCACTTCAAATATTTGCCCTGAGGAGGTCTCTGATTATATTGTACCGTAGTATTCAATTAATTCCAAAAGCAGTTGTCCAACACCATGGTGTTGAATGTGAAACTTCAAAAGGAAGGCATTAAACAGATTAAAGTTGTAATAATAACTGAGTCACACCTAGGGCCACTACAAAGTTACATGTTCAGCTATTTTTGCTGAAGTATCCAGAAGGTGGGCCCCTTTTAAAAAACAGGTAATGCTTATTTAAATACGTGTAATACTTACTTAGCTTGACTTAATCACCATCTGATTTTCAAACGAACTGTAGTTGCTTTCCTTACATTAAAATAATACGGGGGAAAAGGTGGTTTCCTCTTCCCTGTGGCCTCACTAAGCTTCTCAGAGGCTTTTCTTCCCATGCCCGTGGCTCGGGGAGGCGCAGGGGAAGCGCGCGGCGGGAGCCACCTCATGCTCCTCCTTACCTGAAGGGGGCTTGGCGGGAATCGCCGGCACTGCTGTCACGCTGTCCCGCCCGCCCCGCCCTGCCCTGTACAGTGCCCAACCTCACCCTCGCCTTTGTTCTCTTCTCACCTCACCCTTACTCTCCTGCCCACCTTGGCCCGCACTGCCTTCACGCGGCCGCCCCGGCAGGTGGTGAGGCATTTGCCTCCAAAGCTCAGTTACCGCTAGCCCACAACGGTCATTTTTAGCCGGGCAGGGGAAAGATAATTAAAATGGGGCTATTCTAGGCGCTAATGGGATTAGAAACGAAGGCAGCGAAGCGGCGGGGAGAGGGCACTGCAGCGCGAGAGCAGGGCTACGGCATGGCGCCCCTCTGATGGCGGGAGGGCAGAGCAGAAGCTGCGCCACATGGGCGGGAGCGGGATACCCCAGGTAACTGGGGAGGGGAGCGGGACGGGAGCACCCCTGGAACCGGGAGGGGGCAGAGACGGCGGGAAAGGCCTGTTTGCCTATGGGGAAAGGGGGGCAACGGCCCCACCGGCTGCCCGGCGTGTGGGGAGAGGGGGTAGAGGGGGAGGCCGAGGCCCCTCCGAAGGCCTAGTGAGGGGAGAAGGATGCTGCCGGGCGACAGCCCAGGTGAGGAGGAACAAAACGGGGTGGGGTGGAGTGCGGGCGGCCTGGTCCGGGGCAGGTGCAGGGAGCATGACAGGGTGCAGAGGAGGGGGAGCCCGCCGCAAGGCGGAGGCGCGACAATAAATCGGGGGGGGGGGGGGGGGGAAGCGCGAGGTGTGGGGGGCTGAGAAGGGGAGTGCGACAGCGGGAGGAGGAGAGGAGCGCGGGCCCGGGGGAGGGCAAAGCACGGCGGGAGGCGGAGGAGAGCGTCAGCTGGAGCAGGGATAGCGGGAGCGCGGCGGGAGGCGGAGGAGGAGAGCGTCAGCTGGGGGCAGAGATAGAGGGAGTGCGGCAGGAGGAGGAGGAGGAGAGTGTGAGCCAGGGAAGGGGGGGGGGGCAGAGAGAGAGAGGGAGCGAGGCAGGAGGAGGAGGGGAAGAAGCGCGACGCAGGGACGGCAGATGCCTGGAAATAAAAATTTGATGATTGCATGCAGCGGCTGGAGAGACTCTGTCGGTGGCGGCGGCGGGGACGAGGCAGGGACAGGGGGGGCGACGGCAAAATGAAGTATCAGAAATACCTGACTGTCTTACAGATGGCCATAGGGGTGACCGCCTCCAACAGGGGCAGTCTGATGCCCTTAAAGAGGAAGCTGTGGTGAGTAGGCACAAAAGGGGCTAGCGGCACTGCGGGCCGGGCGGGGAGCGCGGCGGGACGGCCGGGCGGGGTGTCGCGGGGGTTTCCCTCATGCATGACGGCCGCTTGAGGGGTGCCGCACGAGAGCGGGCCTGCGGCTCCTGGCGGGTATCTCCGGGGCAGAAAGTGCCCGGTGAATTCGCCGCCCGCCTTGTGGAAAAGCCGGGAGGCGGCGGTGGTGCCGGTGGAGCTGTCCGCGCCTCGCTTCGCTTCGTCCGCTCCCGGGCCCGTCGTAGCACACCCGGTGCTTTGCGCGGCTGGAAGCACGGTTCTCCTGCGGAATGACTCCTTCCCGGGGGTCACCGTATCCTTCCAGGGAGCTTGCGGTCCGGCGACTGTCGGAGCAGGACTATGGCAGCCTCGGCTGCGGGGCGCGGGAGCGGGGTCTGCCGCCCGCCTGGCATCCCGAGTGTCAGCTCCCGCCCCGGGCCGCGCTCGGAGCCCATCCCCGGCTTTTGCTGGCCTTAAAAATCGGGAAGAGGGAGGTACAAGTCTAGTAGGTTAGCGAGTGACACAGAGGCAGTACTGCTCATACATGAAAATTTTTATAAAAAAAATTCCACGACTTGTTTCCACTGGTTTTGTGCTCTCTGATGGTGTGCTGAACTGATTTTTCTGGATGAATCAACAATATGCTATGGAAAATGTGTTAAAATATAATGGTGTAATGTGGGTGAGTAGGGCACTGACAAGCATATGGCACTGCAACACCCAGTCACTCATGGATTTGTAAGAGCCCACTGTTAGCTTGATTGGAGCAATGGGATGTATGTCTTATCATCAGGACAATTGTGAGGAGGAAGTATGTGAACTTGTGAAGTGAGATTTTCTGGGAGGAAAACACTAAGAACAAATTTGTGCCCTGAGAATTTCGTATCTATAAAATATAAAGAGTGATATTTAGGTGGCAAGGGTCAAACAGTTTTTTTTTCAATGTACTTTCTTGTTCCTAGTGAAGGAAAGTAAAGTATAATAGAAGGCATGATAGATAATTTTATTTAAAAAAAGGTAGTTCATAACCAGAAATATTATCATGTCAGCAGTTGTAACAAGAAAAGGCCTTACATAAATTGTAGAATATAGGGTTTTTACACACCCCCATCATTGTCAGCTAGCATAAACAATGTCAAGGAAATGCATCACTTGAAGAAACATAATGTGGAACTAATAAGCTTTTTGTCTTAATTTCCCAATAACACTATTCCTTGTAGCTGCGAGCAAAATTTGGCAAATTTGTGCCTGACTGTTATGTACAAGATCAAATGTCTAAGACAAAAATATGTTGCCATACAAATAAGTTTTATTATATTTAATCAGATATTTTTATAGTTTATTTGGTGGTTTGATTTTGATTATGTAAGTTACATAGTGTGCCATACCTATTTTATTCTCCCCAGATGCCACTCCTGTCTATGTGCAGCAATGTATGTATTGCTGTGTTACTACTTTTAAGAAGTTAAATTTTGGGTAGTATATTGATAACGATTGCTCTATTTCATATTTCCTGTGTCTACTTGGAAATGATTTCTTTGCTGGAGTGTTAAAGTGAAGCTATCTATATTTGCATATTTTAAAAGTAAGTCTGAAAGAACCCAATTCAACTCATACTTAATGTCTTCAACTGAAGTTAGATAAGCTCTGTATTGGCTAGTTTCATGGTGAGAGACTGTGCTTTTTTGAGGTACAGCAAAACAATATAGTGGATCACCACTAATACTATAAGCATTGCATTTCATAACATTTGTAACTTGACATGTTGCTGCAGTGCAAAGTGTTAAGGAAAAATAAGGTTAAATAATTTTTTTAATTTTAGGGAGAACTATGACTTGAACATTTGAAAGCATGTCTCTAGGATCTTCTTATTAATAGGTGATATATTATGTATTCACATTTCCTTTGAGAATTTTAATACTGTTAGGTATAATCTGTAAGGATAGACTTTATGTTTATGAATGAAATACTACTTTCTGATGCATCTGGAGAAGTGCTCTGTCATGTTAGTATTTTCTTGTTTGTGTGTAGTCTGTATCAAATAATGCATTAAGAAAACCTGAATATTGGAAGAGAATGTTGCTGTTATTAAAATCACTGTCATATTAGTGCATATTTCTGAAAAGTAAAACAGAAGAGTGTTCCAGTACTCCATCACTTGGAGATCACATCTCAAAAAAACTTAAGAAAATGTATAAATCAAGTCAGTCTATAATCAGAGGATGCTTTAAATCTCATTTCATTTGTGTTTAAAAATGTTGAACATTGTTTAACCTATCAGATTCATAAACTCTTTAATTTGCTAATATATACTGTAAGTGGAAGCAAAGACATAATTTAATAAAAAAGGGTTAAAATACTCATCATCTTGTTGGTGGAGATAATCCACCTGAATCCTACTGAAAGAAAATGAAAAAGGTAACAGCAATATTTTATTTCTTTATAGAGCATCTGTCACTCCTAATTTTCTCCATCTTCCCCCCCCAAAATGTTAAGTTCTATTCTGTGATGCATGAAAGCAGAGCTACAAATGAAAAAAACCCACAAAACCGAGGACACAGATATACAATGATGGGTTAAGAATAACTTGTTAAAAACTAGCTGAGAATTAAGTAGACAGTTGAACAAACAGAAGGAAGCTATGCCACAGGCTTGCAGTGGGAAGTGGTGGGGCCAGAAACTGATTTGTGTTTAATGTGGACCTAGATCACTTTATGATGAGGTTTGCTTGGGGCACTAGAGTTTTGGATTCAGTGACAGAGGAAGTTGCTGGAGTCCCGGACTGCTGATTCAAACCCTTTCCCACGTTTGTGCAGCACTGTAATAGAATATGTAGGAACCTAAATGAGATGAGTAGGATGTTTTTAATTGTCTTGCTGCGGGACAGTATTTGAATAAAAACCCCACTATCATCCTGCTGCTAGGTAGAGCGCAGCATGGACTAACATTTGCTAAGGTGCTCAAGAAAAACTAATTACTGACCTGGGAGCACCTTAGAACAGTAAATGGACATAAATATTTACTGAAATCCCAATATGTGCAACCAGAGTGCTTTTACAACATGGGAATGCTAAATCATTATTAAGGGGAACTACACAAGTAGACCATAATTTCTTGTCACACTGAATATTGTATTTCTTTGCTGCAAGGAGAAAGAGCAGGCAATCAAAACAAAACAGAAAAAGGAGGAGGATATCCTAGCAATCCTACTAATTTCCTTCAGTAATATTTATTCCTATTTCTTACGGCATTTGTCTCTACTTTGAAAGGCTTTCTCTGCTTTGGCTTACTCACCCTATACTCCCCTTGGTGCAAGGTTGTGCGGAGTTAGGGTTGGAAAGGACCTTTAGATCATCAAGTCACAAACGCCCTGCCATGGGCAGGGACACCTCACACTAAACCATGTCACCCAAGGCTCTCTCCAACCTTGCCTTGAACACGGCCAGGGATGGAGCATTCACAACTTCCAGTGCCTCACCACCCTTACAGTAAAGAATTTCTTCCTTATAGCCAATCTAAACTTCCCCTGTTCAGGTTTTAACCCGTTACCCCTTCATGTTGTAAATTAATTCCTTTATTTATTTCCTTTTTCTGATGAAGGTGGGATACTGTGCTTACAACTGAAGATACTTGCAGAGGTGCACAAGAATTTATCATAGCAGCTGACTGCTCGGGGTTACTAGCCATCGTTTCAAATTTGCCTTTTTTTTTTTTTTTTTTTTTCCCAAACATTAATTTTAA